TTCCTTGTCTTTCTTTCGCTTTGAACAGCTGCTTGTTTTGCTTGCATAAATCCGTTCCAATCAATACCCGTCACATGTACATGATGAGCGTTCATTTTTTTTTTTTTTTCTTTTTCTTTTGATCCCAATTTGATTTTGCGCGGGAAAAGTATGGCTATATTGAACAGGCCTTCTCACTTCTTGGAGTGAGGCCAGAAAGCTAGTCTTTAAAGATACATCTGAACTGATTAGCAAAACTCAATAGGGAAAAATCTTTTAGTGGGTTTCGCAATTGTCACGATAACCATATTTGACAGTTCTGAAAGATTGATTTAAGGGTTCCTTCCGTTCTTGTTGCTTTCATAAGAGTCCAGAGATTTCGGATCTGTTGAAAATTGACCAAGGGAAATAAGTGAATGTACAAGCCAGAAAATATTTACCGAAATCCTTCAAGGTTACTAAACACAACTTTTAAATGAAAGGGAAGACGTTTTATTGCTCAAACGTCCTAGCTACTCCCTAATCTAAAATACAATTTGGTGCTATATATTTATTATCATTTTTTTTTTTTTTTTTTTTTTTTTTCATGTAATTAGATATTACGTTGTATATGGCCAGAAGATTGCCTAGTTGAATCCTGTTAGGGTCACCAGTTTTAGCAAGACCATTCTTTTTTTTTTTTTTTTTTTTTTTTTAATTACTCATCTGGCAGTTTTAAGTGGAAAAACCACTAACTTTGGTGTGTATCGGCTATGTTTGAGAAACTGGTAAAATTTAGTTGCGACTTTTGCATATTTGTAACTGGATGGCAAAACAGAAAAAAATCAAGTTATGTTAAGAAAAGAACAAATTTATTTATATACATGATCCTCTTTAGATTCTTCAGAAGTTTGAATAATGTATTAGGTGTAATATGTAGATGAAACTTTTTTTCTGTGTTTGCCATCCAGCTATGAATATTCGAAAGTTTCAACACAACCGACCACTCAAAAGTTTGGCCCTTTTTTTTCTTTTTTTTCGACTACAAATTCTCCATTCACTTGTTAACATCCAAAACGAAACTGCTATCACCATAGGCATTTTTTTTTTTTTTGTATCTTCCATCAATATGGCTGATGCTAACCTCCAGGAGAATAACTGCTTGTGTCTACTTGGTCTCACATTTTCTAGTGACATGAAATCTAGTTATTATATTGAATCAATTATTAGGTTTGCTACTAGGAAATTTGGTTTGTTGTACTGTGCCAGTAAAGTTCACCCTATACAAAACCCGGGAGCCACTTTAAGTAGAGGGTTACGATGAGGAGTAGTTTATATGAATATTCAGGGAAGATAACGGTTGACTCTAGACTTGAACAGGTTAAGACTGTATTGATCGGGGAAAACATCTTGAGTCTGTTTCATAAGGCCGTGGTTCGGGGGAAGAAGCCGTTTGATCGGAACTTGCTTCACGCCGATGGAATACAGTAGGAATGTCGGTAGTTTGCTACTATGCAAATGGCCTGGCGGGTCCTAAGCGTGTAGGTGGAACCAGGAGATGCAGTTCGTCCGAGCACTTCCCATGCTAGTAACGAGAGGGCAGTGAGAGACTCGCCACATTCCACATGTGAGAGAGAGAGGTTGGAGAGTAGAAAATAATTCTTCTCTCACGAGGAGACCATCTTGCCTATTTAAAAATCTATCATTCGTCGTACATTGAATATTGCTGTGACATCTGGTCTTTTGCTCCTACTGTAAATCTTGAGATTTTCAACAAAATACATGTTAATTGTTCTACTGAATATTCATCTGTGGTACCTCGCCCACATGAACATAAGCATACTACTAGACTAGCAATTAGGTCCCATTGTTTTTTTTGTTTTTTTTGGGGGGGGGTACTGTTGAAATAGCTAGATGTAACCGTAAGTCTGTTCTAATAGTTCTATTCTCGCATGTGGAACTCACTTCCGGTTTCTACCTTCGCTGGAATCTTCAAAAATTTAAATGCAACATCAATTGCAATCTTTGACTTCCTGAATTCTGTTTTTTAACTGTCCTTTCTCCTCACTAAAGTCTTCTAATTTTCTTTCAATTCCAGTAAACGTTGCGTCTTAGTAGCATTATCGCCTTGCTTGAGGTGGAATGATAAAAAAACTGTCCTATAATCCTTGTTACATTTGTACACACAGTTCATACACTAAATGTATCAACTATTGTGGGACAGTGATATTTCTTACTACATCTGTCCCATAATCACTGAGACATCTAGCTATGCATTTCATACACTAAATGTATCAACTATTATGGGGCAGATATTTTTCCTACTCCATTTAAAATTTAAATGCAATATCGATTGCCATTTTCTCACTCCCTGAACTCTGTTTTTTATTGTCTTTTCTCACTAAAGTCTTCTCATTCTCGTCTTGCGTCTTAGTGGCATTGTTCCCTTGCTTGAAGTGAAATAATTAAAATCCCCTTTGAGATAAGTATGTGATTGTTTTTTGTCAGCTTTCTTTGCCTTTCTTTTAATGGCGCAGAAAACGGAATTATTCTGTCGAGTAAAAACAACACACATTTTGAGTGCCAAAAATTTTACCTGAAACCTTTTGGGTAAAGTTTGTAAAATTCAATAATTCATTATCTTTTTTTTTTATTCGCTGGCACCAGAAATATTTCAGAAGTTGACAAAAGCTACGTAAAGTATTTGTTGGAGTAGCTTCAATGTCAGATACAAATACATTTCTTCTGGCAGTTGCAGCCATTAATGATTTCCTATGCAATATACTACAAAAAGAAAATGTCAACATGCAAGGCTTTTTCCCCAGGTTGGATATATCCTTGCAAATGATCTGATGGATGTCACTTTTTGAAAAGAACAAAGATTCGACTTGTGTTTTTTTGTGTTTTTTTTTTTTTTTTTACATTAATTTTTCTTTCGCGGATTTCGTCATTCGTTATAATTTCTTTCTTTGATTCCATTAGCCTTGATTTTGTTCATTTTTTTGTTTCCCTTGTTGATTTTCGTCTATTGATTAGTTCCCTTCTTGTTGTTTTTCATCTAATCTTTGATGCCCCTCTTCTTGATTTTCGTCCCAATCCCCTTTTGTTGCTTTTCAGCCTATTCTTTGAAGCCCTTCTGTTGCTTTCATATTCTTTGATGCCCTTCTTGTTGCTTTCAGCCTATTCTTTGATGCCCTTCTTGTTGCTTTCAGCCTATTCTTTGATGCCCTATTCTTTGATGTTGCTTTTCAGCCTATTCTTTGATGCCCTTCTTGTTGCTTTCAGCCTATTCTTTGATGCCCTTCTTGTTGCTTTCAGCCTATTCTTTGATGCCCTTCTTGTTGCTTTCAGCCTATTCTTTGATGCCCTTCTTGTTGCTTTCAGCCTATTCTTTGATGCCTTCTTGTTGCTTTCTATCATTTTTGATGCCCTTCTTGTTGCTTTCAGCCTATTCTTTGATGCCCTTCTTGTTGCTTTCAGCCTATTCTTTGATGCCCTTCTTGTTGCTTTCAGCCTATTCTTTGATGCCCTTCTTTGTTTCTTTCTTGTTGCTTTCAGCCTATTCTTTGATGCCCTTCTTGTTGCTCATTTTCAGCCTATTCTTTGATGCCCTTCTTGTTGCTTTCAGCCTATTCTTTGATGCCCTTCTTGTTGCTTTCAGCCTATTCTTTGATGCCCTTCTTGTTGCTTTCAGCCTATTCTTTGATGCCCTTCTTGTTGCTTTCAGCCTATTCTTTGATGCCCTTATTCTTATACACCCTGCCAATATCTTACAAATAATGAACTATTTTCTTTTTCTCGTGTGAAATAACGGAAAAGATATATCCGAGTTGCTACTTGGTTTCAGTGAGATAAAGAAAAAAAACAAAGGCGATAACCCTCTCGTGTGTTTAAAGTCTTTTTCAGTGAAAGGTTACAAAGATGAAAATTAATTTGAAATTAATAATTATAATTCAGCTTTTCATGACTAGCACCACTGTTATGCCTTCTCAAATAATAGACTATTCCATTTTGATCACGTGGAAAGATAGATACACTACTTGGTTTCAGTGAGAAAACGAAAGAAAGAAATGAAGATAGAAATGTTTAACGTCTGTTTTGATGAAATGGAAAAGTTATCATTTTCAAATCTTCTCATTTGTATCCCCTTACTTATGATTGTTATCGAAATATTTTATCAAAGTTAAGTTCAAGTATTTAACGATGCGATGTGTGGATTTCTGCAGATATTTTATTACTGTTGGCCTTTCCCTGAGCTTATTCAACCATTAACTTAAGAACTAAGATTCGCCAGAAAATTTAAACAGGAAAACCATGAAATTTTCACGAATATTACTTGTTATTACTGTTAAACTATTTAAAAAAAATATATTAGCATTGGATATGCTTTTTAAAAAGAAATGTAAATATGGTGTCCTTCCCCGCTTTCATTATGTACCTTGTTAGACACATTGCCGTCCCTACTCTGGAAAGACATGATCCTCCGCCTCATTGTGCTTGTGATGACTGTTTAGCTTTCCTAAGCGGTCAGCAAGTAACAATGGACGAAATGTCTTCTGCATGGAGGAATTCACATCTGCTTTTTATGCACTTTCATGCCAGACACTATTTTACTAAGATTCTATCTGAAACAAGGAAAAATAACCATGACTTTTTAGTAAAATCGGTAACCTTCTAATTTCATACCACCAACATACTAAAACAGGAAGCACTGCTTTCAGAACAACACTTGTTATTTACAAACTATTTTTCATGCTGGTTGCCAACAGAAAATAAAAAAAAAAAAAATCAGCATCACTAGCTGAGAAGCGTGGCAAGTTGTGAAAAACAGCTATTAACATAAACAGAAGGGAAAATAAAATATTTAAAAAAAATAAAAGCGCCACCATGAAAAGACAAACAATTTGCGAATTCATTGGCGGGAAAATAACACTTGATTGTCCACTGCTAATTCAAATATTTGTTTGTAGTTTCAATCAAGAATCCTTTTCTGTGGGTGAAACTGCAGCATAAGTTTGATGGTGAGTTTAGCAGTAATCTAATTAATGATAGGACACAGATAACGCCATCTTGCAAATATCATGTGATAAGGTTCTTTGTAGGCGGGTCGCTGTGATTTGCATTATTAATATGAATAAATCGGTTCTCACCACCTGAACAGAATGAAAGAAAAAGAAAACTATGAAAAAGCTGGGAAGGATGAAAGGCAGATCGAAAAAGCTGGGAAGGATGAAAGGCAGATGGGAAGGATGAAAGGCAGACCGAAAAAGCTGGGAAGGATGAAAGGCAGAACGAAAAAGCTGGGAAGGATGAAAGGCAGATGGGAAGGATGAAAGGCAGACCGAAAAAGCTGGGAAGGATGAAAGGCAGATGGAAGGATGAAAGGCAGACCGAAAAAGCTGGGAAGGATGAAAGGCAGATGGGAAGGATGAAAGGCAGACCGAAAAAGCTGGGAAGGATGAAAGGCAGATGGGAAGGATGAAAGGCAGACCGAAAAAGCTGGGAAGGATGAAAGGCAGATGGGAAGGATGAGAAGCAGACCGAAAAAAGCTGGAGAAGGATGAAAGGCAGACCGAAAAAAGCTGGGAAGGATGAAAAGATGGAAAGGATGAAAGGCAGACCGAAAAAGCTGGAAAGGATGAAAGGCAGACCGAAAAAGCTGGAAAGGATGAAAGGCAGATGGGAAGGATGAGAGGCAGACCGAAAAAGCTGGGAAGGATGAGAGGCAGATGGGAAGGATGAAAGGCAGATGGGAAGGATGAGAGGCAGACCGAAAAGCTGGGAAGGATGGGAGGCAGATGGGAAGGATGAGAGGCAGATGGGAAGGCAGATGAAAGGCAGATGGGAAGGATGAGAGGCAGACCGAAAAAGCTGGGAAGGATGAGAGGCAGAGATGGGAAGGATGAGAGGCAGATGGGGAAAGGATGAAAGGCAGATGGAAGGAAAGCTGCAGACCGAAAAAGGATGAGAGGCAGACCGAAAAAGCTGGGAAAGGATGCAGATGGGAAGGATGAAGGCAGATGGGAGGATGAGAGGCAGACCGAAAAAGCTGGGAAGGATGAGAGGCAGATGGGAAGGATGAAAGGCAGATGGGAAGGATGAGGCAGACCGAAAAAAGCTGGGAAGGAGAGGCAGATGGGAAGGATGAAGGCAGATGGGAAGGATGAGAGGCAGACCGAAAAAGCTGGAAAGGATGAGAGGCAGACCGAAAAAGCTGGAAAGGATGAAAGGCAGATGGGAAGGATGAGAGGCAGACCGAATAAGCTGGGAAGGATGAAAGGCAGATGGGAAGGATGAAAGGCAGATGGGAAGGATGAGAGGCAGACCGAAAAAGCTGGGAAGGATGAGAGGCAGATGGGAAGGATGAGAGGCAGATGGGAAGGATGAAAGGCAGACCGAAAAAAATGGGAAGGATGAAAGGCAGATCGAAAAAAGCTGGGAAGGATGAAGGCAGGAAAAGAACTGGGAAGGAAAAGGCAGATGGGAAGGATGAAAGGCAGACCGAAAAAAGCTGGGAAGGATGAAAGGACCAGAAAACTGGGAAGGATGAAAGGCAGATGGGAAGGATGAAAGGCAGAGAAAAAGCTGGGATGGATGAAGGGCAGACCGAAAAAGCTGGGAAGGATGAAAGGCAGATGGGAAGGATGAGAGGCAGACCGAAAAAGCTGGGAAGGATGAGAGGCAGATGGGAAGGATGAAAGGCAGATGGGAAGGATGAGAGGCAGACCGAAAAAGCTGGGAAGGATGAGAGGCAGACCGAAAAAGCTGGGAAGGATGAAAGGGATGGGAGGAGGCAGACCGAAAAAGCTGGGAAGGATTAAAGGCAGATGGGAAGGATGAGAGGCAGACCGAAAAAAGCTGGGAAAATGAAAGGCAGGGAAGGATGAAAGGCAGATGGGAAGGATGAAAGGCAGACCGAAGAAGCTGGGAAGGATGAAAGGCAGACCGAAGAAGATGGGAAGGATGAAAGGCAGAGGAAAAAGCTGGGAAGGATGAAAGGCAGACTGAAAAAGCTGGGAAGGATGAAAGGCAGACCGAAAAAAGCTGGGAAGGATGAAAGGCAGACCGAAAAGCTGGGAAGGATGAAAGGCAGACCGAAAAAAGCTGGGAAGGATGAAAGGCAGACCGAAAAGCTGGGAAGGATGAGAGGGAAAAAGATGGGAAGGATGAAAGGCAGAGAAAAATGGGAAGGATGAAAGGCAGACCGAAAAAAAGCTGGGAAGGATGAAAGGCAGATGGGAAGGATGAGGCAGACCTAGGAAGGAAACGGCAGATGGGAAGGATGAGAGGCAGACCGAAAAAGCTGGGAAGGATGAAAGGCAGACCGAAAAAAAAGCTGGAAAGGATGAGAGGCAGACCGAAAAGCTGGGAAGGATGAAAGGCAGACCGAAAAAAAAGCTGGAAAGGATGAAAGGCTGGAAAGGATGAGATGGGAAGGATGAGAGGCAGACCTGGGAAGGAAAAGGCAGATGGGAAGGATGAAAGGCAGATGGGAAGGATGAGAGGCAGACCGAAAAAAAAGATGGGAAGGGAATGGGGATGAAAGGCAGAGAAAAATGGGAAGGGGAAGGAAGGAGATGGGCAGAGAGGAACCGAAAAAAAGCTGGGGAAAGGATGAGAGGCAGACCAAAAAAAGCTGGAAAGGATGAAAGGCAGATGGGAAGGATGAGAGGCAGACCGAAGAAGCTGGGAAGGATGAAAGGCAGATGGGAAGGATGAGGCAGATGGGAAGGATGAGAGGCAGACCGAAAAGCTGGGAAGGATGAGAGGCAGATGGGAAGGATGAAAGATGGGAAGGATGAGAGGCAGACCGAAAAAAGCTGGGAAGGATGAGAGGCAGACCGAAAAAGCTGGGAAGGATGAGAGGCAGACCGAAAAAGCTGGGAAGGATGAAAGGCAGATGGGAAGGATGAGAGGCAGACCGAAAAAGCTGGGAAGGATGAAAGGCAGACCGAAAAAGCTGGGAAGGATGAAAGGCAGATGGGAAGGATGAAGGGCAGACCGGGAAGGATGGATGAAGGCAGACCGAAAAAGCTGGGAAGGATGAAAGGCAGATGGGAAGGATGAGAGGCAGACTGAAAAAAAAAGCTGGGAAGGATGAGAGGCAGATGAAGGGAAGGATGAAAGGCAGATGGGAAGGATGAAAGGCAGACCGAAAAAGGGAAGGATGAGAGGCAGACCGAAAAAAGCTGGGAAGGATGAAAGGCAGATGGGAAGGATGAGAGGCAGACCGAAAAAGCTGGGAAGGATGGGAAGGATGAAAGACCGAAAAAAAGCTGGGAAGGATGAGAGGCAGACCGAAAAAGCTGGGAAGGATGAGAGGCAGACCGAAAAGCTGGGAAGGATGAAAGGCAGAAGAATGGGAAGGATGAAAGGCAGACCGATGGGAAGGATGAAAGGCAGACCGAAAAAAGCTGGGAAGGATGAAAAGCAGATGAAAAAGCTGGGAAGGATGAAAGAGGAAAAACTGGGAAGGATGAAAGGCAGACCGAAAAAGCTGGGAAGGATGAGAGGCAGACCGAAAAAGCTGGGAAGGATGAAAGGCAGACCGAAAAAGCTGGGAAGGATGAGAGGCAGACCGAAAAAGCTGGGAAGGATGAAAGGCAGATGAAAAAAAAGGATGAAAGGCAGACCGAAAAGCTGGGAAGGATGAAAGGCAGACCGAAAAAAGCTGGAAAAGGGAAGGATGAAAAGGATGGGAGAGGCAGACCGAAAAAGCTGGGAAGGATGAAAGGCAGACCGAAAAAGCTGGGAAGGATGAAAGGCAGACCGAAAAAGCTGGGAAGGATGAGAGGCAGACCGAAAAGCTGGGAAGGATGAGAGGCAGACCGAAAAAGCTGGGAAGGATGAAAGGCAGATGGGAAGGATGAGAGGCAGACCGAAAAAGCTGGGAAGGATGAAAGGCAGACCGAAAAAGCTGGAAAGGATGAGAGGCAGACCGAAGAAGCTGGGAAGGATGAAAGGCAGAGAAAAAGCTGGAAAGGATGAGAGGCAGACCGAAAAAAGCTGGAAAGGATGAAAGGGATGGGAAAAGGCAGACCGAAAAAGCTGGGAAGGATGAGGCAGATGGGAAGGATGAAAGGCAGATGGGAAGGATGAGAGGCAGACCGAAAAAGCTGGGGGAAGGAAGGCAGATGGGAAGGATGAAAGGCAGATGGGAAAAAGCTGGGAAGGATGAAGGATGAGGCAGATGGGAAGGATGAAAGGCAGATGGGACAGAAGAAAAAGCTGGGAAGGATGAGGCAGACCGAAAAAGAAAGGAGACCGAAAAAGCTGGAAAGGATGAAAGGCAGATGGGAAGGATGGGAAGGATGAGAGGCAGACCGAAAAAGCTGGGAAGGATGAGAGGCAGATGGGAAGGATGAGAGGCAGACCGAAAAAAGCTGGGAAGGATGAAAGGCAGATGGGAAGGATGAAAGGCAGATGGGAAGGATGAGAGGCAGACCGAAAAAGCTGGGAAAAAGCAGATGGGAAGGATGAAAGGCAGATGGGAAGGATGAGAGGCAGACCGAAAAAAGCTGGGAAGGATGAAAGGAAAAGACTGAAAGGAAAAGCAGATGGGAAGGATGAACGGAATAAGATGGGAAGGATGAAAGGCAGATGGGAAGGAAAAAAGATGGGAAGGATGAGAGGCAGACCGAAAAAGCTGGGAAGGATGAAATGGGAAGGATGAGAGGCAGATGGGAAGGATGAGAGGCAGACCGAAAAAAGCTGGGAAGGATGAAAGGCAGATCGAAAAAGCTGGGAAGGATGAAGGCAGGAAGATGGGAAGGATGAAAAGATGGGAAGGATGAGACCGAAAAAGCTGGGAAGGATGAAAGGCAGAAAAATGGGAAGGATGAAAGGCAGATGGGAAGGAAAAGCTGGGAAGGATGAAAGACCGAAAAAAATGGGAAGGATGAAAGGCAGATGGGAAGGAGACCGAAGAAGCTGGGAAGGATGAGAGGCAGATGGGAAGGAAAAGCAGATGGGAAGGATGAGAGGCAGACCGAAAAAGCTGGGAAGGATGAGAGGCGGACCGAAAAAGCTGGGGGAAGGATGAAAGGCAGATGGGAAGGATGAAGGCAGACCGAAAAGGATGGGAAGGCAGAAAGGCAGATGGGAAGGATGAGAGGCAGACCGAAAAAAGCTGGGAAGGATGAAAGGCAGATGGGAAGGATGAGAGGCAGACCGAATAAGCTGGGGGATGAGGAGGAAGACCGAAGAAGCTGGGAAGGATGAGAGGCAGACCGAAAAAAGCTGGGAAGGATGACCGAAAAGATGGGAAGGATGAGAGGCAGACCGAAAAAAGCTGGGAAGGATGAGGCAGACCGAAAAAAAGCAGATGGGAAGGATGGGGGAGGATGAGAGGCAGACCGAAAAAAGCTGGGAAGGATGAAAGGCAGACCGAAAAAGCTGGGAAGGATGAAAGGCAGAGAAAAATGGGAAGGATGAAAGGCAGACCGAAAAAGCTGGGAAGGATGAAAGGCAGATGGGAAGGATGAGAGGCAGACCGAAAAAGCTGGGAAGGATGAAAGGCAGATGGGAAGGATGAGAGGCAGACCGAAAAAGCTGGGAAGGATGAAAGGCAGACCGAAGAAGCTGGGAAGGATGAAAGGCAGACCGAAAAGGATGGGAAGGATGAGAGGCAGACCGAAAAGCTGGGAAGGATGAGAGGCAGACCGAAAAAGCTAGGGAAGGATGAAAGCAGATGGGAGGATGAGAGGCAGACCGAAAAAGCTGGGAAGGATGAAATGCCAGACCGAAAAAAGCTGGAAAGGATGAAAGGCAGACCGAAAAAGCTGGGAAGGATGAAGGCAGACAAAAAAAAAAGATGGGAAGGATGAGAGGCAGACCGAAAAAAGCTGGGAAGGAGGAAGGAGAGGCAGACTGAAAAAGCTAGGAAGGATGAACGGCAGATGGGAAGGATGAGAGGCGAAAAAGACTGGGAAAAAGCAGGGAAGGATGAACGGAAAAAGATGGGAAGGATGAAGGCAGACCGAAAAAAAAAGGATGAGAGGATGAAAGGCAGACCGAAAAAGCAGATGGGAAGGATGAAAGACCAGATGGGAAGGATGAAAGGCAGACCGAAGAAGCTGGGAAGGATGAAAAAAAAAGCTGGGAAGGATGAGAGGCAGAAAACTGGGAAGGCAGAAGAAGCTGGGAAGGATGAAAGGCAGACCGAAGAAGCTGGGAAGGATGAAAGGCAGATGGGAAGGATGAGAGGCAGACCGAAAAAGCTGGGAAGGATGAGAGGCAGACCGAAAAAGCTGGGAAGGATGAGAGGCAGACCGAAAAAGCTGGGAAGGATGAACGGCAGACCGAAAAAGGATGGGAAGGCAGACCGAAAAAGATGGGAAGGATGAGAGGCAGACCGAAAAAAGCTGGGAAGGATGAAAGGCAGATGGGAAAAAGGATGAAAGGAAGGAAAAGAGGAAGGAGAAGGCAATGAAAAGCTGGGAAGGATGAAAGGCAGATGGGAAGGATGAAAGGCAGACCGAAAAAGCTGGGAAGGATGAAAGGCAGATGGGAAAAATGCTAGGAAGCATGAACGGCAGATGGGAAGGATGAGAGGCAGACCGAAAAAACTGGGAAGGAAGAGACCGAAAAAAGCTGGGAAGGATGAAAGGCAGACCGAAAAAGCTGGGAAGGATGAATGAATGTAAAAGAAAACAGAAACCGTACCCCTGCCTCACTTCTCGACTCAAGTTTAATTTAAACCGATGTCTCCCTAATTCGTTGCTGTGTTCGTTCTTGAACAGACGTTGAAATTTCGTTCAGTTACCCAACCTCACCTAAGACAATTGATGTCATTCTTCAGTTTTCTTTACCTCTTATTTCTATATCCTTATTTTTATGTCATTAATATGTATATTCGAGATCTCTTTCCTTACTTCATTCTTTTCTGTTGATAAACCTTTATATTGATTTAAGTTATTCTTTCCTTGTCTCTTTCATTCTCCTTTTTTTTTTTTTTTTTTTCATTTCTTTTGTCGGATCATTCCTTTTGATTACGTCCTTCACTATTTCTTTCCCTTAATTATATAATTATTTATTCATTCTTCCAGGTTCATTTTTTATCGTTTCTTTCATTTGGCCATTCTTCCCTTTCAATTGCTTTCTTCCGTCTTCCTTTCATTAGGTTCTTCCTTCTTTTAATGGATTTTTGAATAGATTTTTTTTTCGTTTCCTTATTCCTTATTTTTTAATCTTGATCAATATTTCTTTCATGTTTTCATTCTTTGTATAGCTTTACTTTCATTCCTTAGATTCCCTTTTTCTATATTTATTTATTTATACATTCTCTCATTTCTTTTAACCTTTAACTCCATTATTCTTGTTTTTCTTCCTCCTTTTTATTCTCCCCTTCCTTCCTCCTTTTTATTCTCTCCTTCCTTCCTCCTTTTTTCTTTTCTCTCCTTCCTTCCTTCCTCCTTTTTTTTCTTTTCTCTCCTTCCTTCCTTCCTCCTTTTTTTTTTCTTTCCTCTCCTTTCTTCTCTCTGATTTCCTCCGTTTACTTTTCATTTTTTTCCGATTCCTTTATTCTTGATTTCTTTTTGTACATTCTTTTATTGTTTTTCGATTGCTTGAATCCTTTATTTTAATATCGATACACTTCAGGAAGATCGCGATCATGGCTCTCCACTACTTTCCGTCGTTTGTAGATCTTAGTACCGATTGTCTTTTGGCTATCTCTTCTGATCTCCTTTCGACCAACCATCTACACAAGTTCGTTGCTTAGATAATTCTCTACCTTCCCTGTCCGTCTTGCCTTCTATACGTCCTGTGTGTGTTAAATTTTATAAGCCCTCTTTCTTCATTAAATGCCCAAGAACGTTCAATTGTCTCTTTCTACTTCTAAGTATAAATAACCTTTTTTTGTTCCCATGTTTACACCTCTTAATTACTGTTACCTGTTAGAGTGTCAGCTCTGGGCAAAATAACTCCCCCACTAAAAAAAAATACTATGGAAGTATAAAAATACATTTTTGGGCGGGGGGGGGAGGAATACCAGCAATAATTTTCGTATAAATATATTACTGACAATACCTATTTATACCAAAATGACCAACAATATATTTTATCTGTGGTTGAATGCATGCAATTGCTTTCAAAATATTTAGATTTCGCTATTAAATAAGCCATAAAAGCTGATATGCCGCTAAACAAAATCAGCCAACCAACCTAAAACTTCGTCGTAGCCCACATGTTCAGTCCATGAAATTCTCAACATCCCTTTCGTAGAACCACGTTTGTCTCTTCATCTGTCATGTGGCCGAGTGGTTAGAACGTTCGCATTCTGACCTTGAGACCCGGGTTCGAATCTCACTATGGTCGATTTGTCAGGAAGGAGACTTCCTGGTGTTATCGGAGTGGCGGGGTCGATCCCAGCGTTCTAGCACCTTTTGGAAAGTGCTAGAAAACCATAACACGGATTGACCCAAGCCTTGTGAGTGAAATTGGGTAGACGGATAACTATGCTAACACGAAGTCACAAGTCATCGTGGCCGAGGGCTTGAGCGTGCTGGCCTTGTTCAAATTGTTCATCAGGCTAAATAACACGCTCTTTCCCAGAAACTGTAACTATGTTCTGCTCTATAAAGGTTTATAGAGCAGGCCACTCTTTGGGTGTTGAAGAAACACAAATGCGCCTGATAAAGCGTCTGCAATGGGGATTGGTTAGCCGTCCTAGTAGTATCTTCGAATACAAGTGGTCAGCTACACTTACATCTGTGAGAAGATTGTCCAACATTTACTGCCATATCCCGTCTCCAAGATGTAACTAAAACCGAATTACATCCCCACCCTTATATAATAACGCCTTATAAAACAACGTATCTGCAAAATAAACACAATATTTAAAAAAAAAAAAACTTAAAACTACCAGATTCAGCGCCAAATGACAATTAGGTTTGAGGTACCAATAAAATAATCTAAATCACTGCCATACAGGAGCACCGATATTACATAAAATTTCAGTATTCTTTTTTTTGTTTCTAACGAAATTGACTTGTTTATTAATACTTTGTTTAGCATTTCTTTCTTCTCTCTCTCTCTCTCTCTCTCTCTCTCTATTTTTTCTTTCTTTTTCTCTCTCTCACTCTCTCTCTCTCTCACTCTCTCTCACTTCCCGTCTTCTTTTAAAAGATTTCCCGTCCTCTGTTAAAAACTCTGTTTTGTACTTGCTTGATTTTGGCGTCTGCAATTTGTAGTTTGCATCTGGGGTTGTTCATTTTGCTGAAAACAATACACTGTCCTTTTACAAGCGATGTTTAGGCCTTTCCTACCACCTGTTGGAGACTACGCAGTCTGCTATCAATACTTTGTCAGCTGCCTATCTTATGTTATTAATATTGTGTCCGCTAATAATAAATCCTGATAGGATTTTTATTTCTTTTGGGAACGCCTCCCAGTCAAGGTTGAATAAGTCTGTCGAGAAGACAAATCCTTGTCTTAAGTCCATTTCTATTTTTGCGTATTTATAGCCATTCGCTTGATTTGGAATTCAGCTCGAGTCTCTGTTTCTATTGGTTTGTGCTTTTTCTTTGGACGAATTATTTCCTTTTTTATTTTAATTTATATTTTATTTTTCTGATTCATTTTTTAAATTTGTTACGTATATCTGATTGTATCAATTGGTATCAGTAACGTATCTCGCTTCATGTAAAACTTAAAATGTTAAAACTACTATTCAGTATCTTGCACTGATAAAGTTTGGATGAACAACCGAAACTTTTATCTTCAAAAAACTTTGTCGTGCCCCCACATGACAACTAACTAAAAAAAAACAAAAAACATTCAAAATATTTCTGTCGTCCTAATTTATATATATATATATATATATATATATATATAAATTATTGATTGATTTAAATTTTTTTTTTTTTCGCTACACAGTTCTGTTTTCATGGTTAGAACTGTGTAGCGAAAAAAACATATTTTAAATCAATTAATTTATAATATTAATGCTCTGTAAATTTACATTGAGCACTATTTTGTAAAATAAAAATATCTATAGGAACACCGGATTTATATATCTTTTTATATATATATATATATATATATATATATATATATATATATATATATATATCTTTGTTTTATAGATACAAGTATTTAAGTAAATGCTCTGTTTATAATAATTATTCCTTCGAAGGACAAATATTTTCTATGAGAATTTCTCGGACATTCAGGCCGGTAAATGTTTTCAATACTGTTTATTATAAACAGAGCATTTACTTAAATACTTGTATCTATAAAAAGAATGTTAAACATAAAAATGTCTTTAAATAATTGTCGGACTTTGTCCATTTCATGTGATATATATATATATATATATATATATATATATATATATATATATATATATATATAAATTTATTTCAACAAAAATTTAAAACCCGAACCCCCTTAAGATTGGAAATTTTACCAAGAAACTTCGAAGTCGGATAAAAAAATTATAATTTAAGTAATCTTTTCATTTAAAATATATATTTCTAAATAACAAACTTAATACGAATCAACGAATCAAAATAATACGCTAAAACTTGAAGAAGGAATTGATTCTATCACTTGTAATGATTGCTACAAGGATTGCACAGAAGAAACCTGGAGGAGTTTTAAATAAAAGGTTATATAAACTCAAAATGGATCTTTTATAAAACTACACTTTCAATGCATTAGTCGCTCACCGTAATGAGCCTGATCATAATTTCGAATAGAAAAAAACCCTACTTTAATTAAAAGAGAAAGAAACTTACTAAAGCGAAAGTATATAGAAAGTGCTTTAATTACTAGATCCTCCACACTAAATTTGCCTCCGGGTTTTTACAACATTTCGCCTTTCTTGGCAGATTTTCTATTATCACAATATGGGATATTTAATTAATAACAAAAGTAATAAGCAAATAAAGAATTAAAGAAATTGGTTACACAATATATCCAAGATATCGTTTAAAAAACAAAGGTTTAAAATTTCGGCGCCCCCCTCTTCTTTGTGCACATGTGTAGTAAACATCACTTTAGTGCTGAAGAACTCCTAAAGATCGAAACGCGTCACCCCATTTTGTCATTAATGTCAATCCTATGTTCTGATACATAAAAATTCATGTCATTTTCTCATAACCAAAGGTTCAAGCATTTTTATACGGGGCGTGCTAAAACCCGTGATTGCGTTTAACACATACTGGAATTTATATGATGTATCCACATACACACTGAAGGGTGATAGCTCAACGCGTCTTACTATACAATTCATGTGTGAATTCTAATTGTTTTTAGGTTAAAAATAATCTGGGTCATACGATACTAGACATCACAGATACTCCACATATCTCCTATGAATGTTGTAAAGCAATAGGAAAATGAAGGAAAATGGGATGCGTTTTCGTCATTGGTGCTCTTTTGCTTCCCAGAAAAGATCAAATGCCGCACAAGCAGCAAAATAGATATGTACCGTTTATGGAGATGGTGCCATAGCTGAGAATAATTGGTTCTCTGAGTTCGGAAGTGGGGAATTTTCATCTGAAAAAAAAAATAAAGAACGTTCCGAAATGCCTAAAAGACTGAGGTCAAATCAATCAGGTTTGGATGACTCTCTCTCATATATATATATATATATATATATATATATATATATATATATATATATATATATCCAAATAGATATAATCAAAACAGAACTGCCATATTTAATCACCATCGTTACGCCTTCTTTGTCTCATGTTTTCACTGACATGAAGTAGTGACTATATTTAATCAGTTGCTAGGTCTAGTCCTAGGAAGCTTGGTTCCCTGTGTCGTGCCACACAATT